ATTTATTTTAAATTTAAATATTAAACACAGTCAAATCTAATTATGAACACTCTTATTGTTTAATATCATGTTTTTAACGGGTATTAACAGTCTAACTTGATCTAGCCCAACTTTAATCTATAAAAAGGGGGTTTAAGACATGAAAAAATTAAAATTATATTTTAAATTATTATATAACCAGTTAATCAGTATCTTAATGGACTAAAGAAGATGAAAAATATTATGTATAATAGGACAAATATTTATTACTTTCTTATCTTTTATTATATCATAATAAATATAATATATAAATATTCAATTTTTAAATTAAACTATATATATACATATATAAATATAAAATTTATTCAAATATCAATAACTCCTCTCCTTCCCTATTCTCCACTCAACTCTTATAAAAAATATTAAACATGTGGTGATAAATAAAAAGAAGAAAAGATAAAAATAGAATGCTAACTGATCGATGTGTTTGATATTAAGTACTGTTTTAGTAAAACAATATTGTTAGATAATTGATATATAGACAGTAAAATAATACCGTTAAATAATTAATACATTGGATAATATCTCAACAAATTTTTATTTTAATATCCTACGTATCAATCGCGTAACAATGTTACTTTACTTAGACAATATCTAGTATTATTGTCACTGTCACTTATCTATCATAACTTAATTCACATGTTTGTGTTGTGATGGCTGTCATGACTCGGAAAGTTGGATTCGTGACTGGCGCTAGGGTTAGAATAGTCCCAACCCCGCAAGTCTCAAATACTCAGAATTATAACAGAACAAAATAACCTAGCTTGATACAATGCCCACAGTCTGATACAAACATCCGAAAATCAAATACAATCATCAACATAAAAAAAAAAAAAAAAAAAAAAAAAAAAAAAAAAAATCTTTAAACTCAATTTCTGTCTATGCTAACTAAAACAAATTAACACAACAGGAAGGAACACTAACTAGCTACTACACTCGGAAACCAAATCCGTTGGAATCACAGATCGAGATCAACAACTCTTCTTACATAACAGAATCGGTCGGAAGTACAGAACCTGAGTTTGGAAAAATTAAGGGATGAGTTTGACGACCCAGTGAATAGTGACGCATATTTACATGACAAAGGACGTACATATATCAAATATTTTGATCACAAAACATAATATTTAAGGTTATAAGCTTATAATGTTTGAAACAGAATTACACTGATTCAATTGTTAACAGAAATCAAGAGATGGCATCCTTGGTGCCCAGATACACATATACACATATAACAGGCGAGAATCACAGGCAGGACTCATAGGCGGGAATAAAACCACCATCCCTGCTTACCATCATCCCCGCTGATCTCAAACAGACTTAACATATCAGGCAGAAACAGGACGGCAACCTCACGATTCACCGTAACAGAACATGAATCAGTTTTAAGAATTTCAATATTTCAAACATAGCAGAATTCAGTAGTTCAAGAAATTTCCAAACAAATCAGAAAATTTCATATACGTCCCTTGTAAGCTTTTTATAATATATAAAATTTCAATTTCGAAATAACTGAATTTATAAACAATTTATGCAAAAACTCATTATTTAACAAATGCAGTAAACAATGGAGCATATAAATACGTATTACTACTCACAAACACTAGAGAGTTGCGAAACCCGAACTTCAGAGCTTCGGCTTCACAAGAATCGATCACTCAATCTAGAATAATCAAAAGTTTTATTTCAGAATATAACTCGTCTCATAGTTTACTTAAATTCAAATTTCCATCAGAGCAGTACTATTCTTTTAGGTTTTCGTGTTCAATCTCACATTGAGAATTTTTAAAGTCCCGAACCGATCGCATAATTCATATTCGAAGTCTTAAATCCTTGAACTGGGTTTATAAAATAATAACTTGTCTAATTATCCTTTAAACCAAACATTAAAGTACTAAACTGGACTTGAACCGGTCACTAAAAGGTTGAACCGACCATTTTTCTATTTTCTAGAAATTTTCTAGTTATTTAATTAATTTCTAATATATGGATCTGGATCTCAGATCTGGATCCTGCTCCAAACCCATAACCCACAACCCATAAACAATTTTCTAGCCTGCCCAAACAAAATAAAATAACCCATCCTTGTTACAGATGGGCCAGTCCATGGCCCAACAAAACTCCAACCCATTACCAAGAAACCGGAACCCGTTGGGTTTAGAAAATCCAAATCCAAGGACTAACTCCCAATCTAAAACCCAAGTTTAGATCCATTTAGTCCGATCATAAAAATTCACATCAAATTCCAAAGCCAATATTAATTCAAAATTTTAAATTAACAAACCCGAAGCTAACCCTTACTTTAACTTGAAACAGGAACTCTTTTTTTTTTTTTCAAACCCAATTACCTTTCAATCACCTGAAACCCCAAACCCATATTTAATCACTTTGTCAACACCCCGTCCAGATTCTCAAGCATCTACTTTCAAATTTAAAATCCATAATTTAATATACCTCAACTTGTTCCCATTTGCTTTGTTTTAGTTTTTTGGTTTACAGTCGGTGTCGGATTAGCTAGTGGTCACTGTTGGTTTGCAGGAAAAGCAATCAGCAAAAATCTGCAACTATGTCAATCAGCCATGAGAATAAATCAGTGGCCCAAATGCCCAGCAACACAGCAAAACAAAAAAAAAAAAAAAAAAAATCAACCCCATCATATCGGCCAACTTAATATGGCCAGACCTGTAAGGGAACTGGGTCCCTTCCTCTTGACCCGCTTCTTACCTGAAACTGCCGAGACATTAAACCCAAACATTTGAATCTTACCTCAAATTGTTTCTTGCAATTTTTCTCCCAAGTTTGCTCGGAATGGTAAGGCGACAGTGACCAAGGGATTAATTGACTAATAGCCGGTTTAATTTGGGAGAAACAAGCTTGACTAACACGGTAATGGTGGACGGACAGCAACCCAGAAATCTATAAAATTGAATAACTTAGAGACCGAGTTTCGGAAAATTGGTCGAGGGTTCTTATTTCTCCTTATCCCTCGCACCCGATTATAAAAGGATTTTGATTCGAAAAATGTTTGAATAAATTGAATTTTGATGATTAATTGTCGCGGATTCATCCGTTACAAACGGTTTCAATAAAAATTTTCTAGATTTTGTAATTAAGTCCCCAGATTCTAGTTCTCATGCAAATTGGTCCCTGACAACTTTAATTTATTTTGTTCAGACCCTAGAAGTTCCATTTATTTCATTCACACCCCCAATTTTCCTGATTCTTTCAATTACCTCCTTCACTATTAAATTAAAATTTAATTTTCCAAAAATTTGGGTTTTACAATGACTGTACACCTTGCAATACAAAAAAATGGATAAGGGTAGTACCTATGGATAAGGGTAGTACCTATATAATGGGCCAAATCCTATCATAACTTGATTGGCATGTTTGTGTTGTGATGGCTGTGCACCTTGAAATACAAAAAAATGGATAAGGGTAATACCTATCAAATGGGTCAAATCTGAAAAAAAAAAAAAAAAAAAAAAAAAAAAAGTAGCAATCCCCCCACCACAAGTTCTCTCTCTCTCTCTCTCTCTCTATATATATATATATATATATAATTATTTCTTAATATAACCATTCTTCTAAAGTTTTGATTTTTAGTGCTTATTTTATAATAAATAAAAAATTGTTAAAATTTTTAAATATTTGTAAAATAAAAATTTATTTACAAAAATAATTTCTTACTTTATACTGCATCTCTACTTTTGTTCTCATTGTTGCCCTGAACATGAATAATAATAATAATAATAATAATAATAATAATAATAATAATATTGAAACCATCAAGAGCTTTCGTGATGCCCAAAATCTCCACATTTTTCTCCATTTATATGGCCAATCTTTGTTGAATTCGATCCACGGGTTAATTAAGCCACATGGACAACGTTGTTGCACTTCTGACTTTTTAAAATTTTGGCACAGATATTTTAATTTCTTTCACTTACTGACTGTGGAGATAAAGACAAAACGGATTTTGGATGTTTTCCTTTCATAATTGAAATAAATAGATTATTTATTAATATTTGCATGATGTAGATATTTTTAAAATAATTAAAATTATGAGATAAAAATTTTAAACGCTTGTTTCAAAATATTTAAATAGATAAATAATAAATGAATATGGGACCGTGAATATATTCCCCCCCCACCAATCACATAATCGCTCTGTCGGGATGGAGACGGATTAACATTTTGGACTCGATGTCAATTTGTACTCATGGAACCATATGCCTTATCACTTCCACGCACATTCTATGAGACACGTGTCCCTTAATTTTTCATATATTAAAAAATAATAATACCACAATTAAATATTAGCAAGTGGGGACCAATCATCCATGACATTTCAAAACAACCACAAGATCTTGGGGCATTTTGCAATTAAAATAACGTATCGCATCTGCCGTCCTTACTTTTTGGACTCCCGTTTCTCAATTGGTTTTTCCACAAGATTTAGATTGCGGACTTCGGTGCAAAGAGAGTTTCTGCAACAAATGTACATTACACCGAACCCCGAAAAAATATTATACACTCTTTTAATTTGCACCCTTGAAATAAAAAAAATGAGCAGCAACGCCTTGAAACAATGGCCAATTTTAGATTTTTTAGACTCTGTTTTGCTTGATTGAGTAGTAGATTTCTATTCGACTCAAAAGGAATAAGAAAAAGAAATTGTCTTCTTTTAGAGCTTAAAACAGAAGAACTACACGGGAGGGGGTTAAATGCTTCATGTGATACTTGGAACGGTTTAAGTGAAAAATTATAATGATATAGGGGGTTTAGTGTAATGTACCCCTAAAGGCTCGATGTGTGGATTCGTGTAACATTCCCCTAATCATTGAGGCTGGCTGTTTGCCCCATCATGAAAATAAAGAAATCTGATGCACAGGAAAAAGGAAAAAGAAAATACGGGCAATTTGCTATAATAAAAAAAAAAAAGTAAATTCAATAATCCCATGAAACTAGTATATAAAGGAGGTAAGGCAGGGAAGTTGAAAGCAGAAGTGGGTGGGCATGGCATCAAGAAGGCTTCTTGCTCTAAGCCTCTTTGTGCTTGTCAATGCCTTGGCCACCACTCAGCTAGCTCATGCAGCCAAACCTCATTCCATCTCCTACTACAATCGTACCAGCTTCCCTTCTGATTTCCTCTTCGGAACTGCCTCCGCAGCCTACCAGGTATATTTGCTTTCAACACTTAGCTTAAAGTAAGCTGAGTTTGAGGGGGAAAAAAGGAGACTAACTCAACTTAATTCAGACTTATTTCATCTCTAGACATACCCATTTGCATCTAAAAAAACTCATGAATAACTTGTTGGATATTAATGTCAGTATGAAGGTGCTGCATTCGAATATGGGAAAGGACCTAGCATATGGGATAATTTTACTCACCAGTATCCAGGTAGCCCTGCTTCCTGTCTAATCTTAGAATTAACCCCTTAATTTTTGATTAATTACTTTATTATTATTACTTTGTTCAAAGGTGGCCTAACAGTTCCTCCAATCTGACTTTTGCAGAGAAAACTAACGGCGAAAACGGTGACGTAGCTACTGACTTTTACCACCGTTATAAGGTAACGGATTTACATAAATGCGCACGTGCACGATAAAAAGAAAAAAAAAATTGCAAATAAAGATAAAAAAAGAAAATTTTAATCAAGTCCTCTGCATCGAGATGCGGGAGTGGGCCATAAAATCCAACGATACCCTGATGAATTCAATGTAACTTTTCATAATATTATGGGAAAGTTTCATTTTTACCCCAAAAAGTAAACTAAATGATTTTCTGCCCACTCTTAAGTATGTGATTTGGTAATAATTAACTCATGTATGCAAAATATGTAAACAGGGTGACACCCAGATAATGAAGTTCATGGGGATGAATGCTTTCAGATTCTCCATTTCATGGTCTCGGATAATACCAAGTAAGTATTATTATTATTATTATTATTATTATTATTATTATTATTATTATTATTATTATTAAATTAACTTCACTCCCATTTTGAAAGCTTTCAAAATAAATATACAAATAATACAAAATGATTTTGTCAATTTGTCGGATTCTCTCTCTCTCTCTCTCTCTCTCTATATATATATATATATATATATATATGAATGAGCTGTTAATTAAGAAGTTCTGTACTACAATGCGCTGTAAAGTGTTAGATATATATGAACAAGATTAATAATTTAGTTTTGTTCTAAGATTTACCCATTGATTTTCTAAACTGTGCAAATTCAAAATTTTTACTGTTCAGCTGGGAAGCTGAAGGATGGAGTGAACCCAAAAGGCATCCTTTTCTACAAGAGTCTCATCAATGACATCATTGCAAAAGGTTATATACTCTCCTCTTAGAGTTTTTATTTTTCTGGTCTTTCTTGTATTGCAGACCTGGAAAATATTAGGAATTTTTTTTGGTTGAAAATAAATGATGAATAAAATCGTTTGTCTGAGTTGTATATTTCAAACGAATTCACAGGGATGGTACCCATGGCGACCCTCTTCCACTGGGATCTTCCTCAAGGCCTAGAAGACGCATATGGCGGCTTTTTGAGCTCTAAAGTAGTGTAAGTGATGAACACTATGAAAGATGTTCACATCTTGGAATGCAGACAAGATAACAAGAGAAACAAATTATTTACTTCTGTCTCCCTTTCTCGAGTTATTAACAAATTAATATTTTGTTGTCAGGGCTGACTTCGCAGATTTTGCAGATCTTTGCTATAAACATTTTGGTGACCGAGTTAAATATTGGATTACATTAAATGAGCCATGGACTTTTTGCTGGCAAGGTTATGACATAGGCACATTGGCACCCGGCCGTTGTTCGGCATGGATGAACAGGAATTGCACCGGTGGAAATTCCGGAACTGAACCCTACATTGTTGGTCACAATATGCTCCTATCTCATGCGGCCGCTGTCAAAGTCTACAGGGATCGTTATCAGGTGGCAAAGAGTTGCAATATTAAATCATCTTCATCCTCCTCCTCCTCCTCCTCCTCCTCCTCTTCTTCTTCTTCTTCTTCTTCTTCTTTTAACAGTATCTTTTTTGTTGTGCGCTCTCAACCTTCCAATCAGGCTCTGGAAGTGCACTTTGCATTGCACTTATTTAACAATTGAGGCATCTCGCAGAAATATCAAAAGGGCAAGATCGGGATTACGTTAGTCTCCCATTGGTTCATTCCCTATCACAACACCACGGCCGACAGTGATGCAGCTCGGAGAGCCATTGATTTCATGTTGGGATGGTGAGTACTTCTTTACAACATTTCTTTGGTTTTGAACCGTTGCACGAGAAGGGTGATGAAATAACAATTGTTGGGATTTTAACAGGTTTATGACCCCAATACACTACGGGCATTACCCTAAAATCATGCAAAAAAACGTCGGTTCCCGGCTACCCAGCTTCACCGCTGCTGAAACGGTGATGGTGAATGGTTCTTATGATTTTCTAGGATTGAATTACTACACCAGCAATTATGCTGCCGACGTTAGCTATGTGAACCCTGTCAATCTCAGCTTTTCAACAGATAACCGCGCTAATCTTACAAGTATGTTTCAAATATTTCTGCTTTATCCTTGTAAATTTAAAGTACTTCTCTAATTCTTGGAAAACAGTTTGATTAAATATTTCTTCTTTTTGGGTTTTCCAGCGCACCGAGATGGGGTATCTATTGGAATACCGGTGAGTATGAATGCCCAAATGTTCTTATATAGCCTACCATGAAAGCACATGGTCTTTTGGTTGTTTGTATCAGGGTCTCAGTTTCGTTAACTTGTTTTGACTTTTTAAACCTTCATATATTTTCCGTTTTGTTCAATTTAACTGTAAGGGTATACTAGTAACCCAAAAGATTCATCTCAAATTTTACTTTAAGTCTGTAATTTTAGTTTTACTTCATAACCCTTTAACTTCCCTTCCACTTCAAGAACATAATGTCCTCTCTCTTTCCTTCAAAGCACAGCTCTTAATTTCTCATCGGATTACACAAATTCTTAAACATTAACTTTGGAAAATGATTCTGCAGGAGGGAGTAAACGATTTTTACGTCTACCCACAAGGATTAACAGATCTCCTACTCTACATAATGACCAAGTACCAAAATCCAACCGTCTACATTACCGAAAACGGTAGGGCAAATTGGTCACACAATTTGTCTTCTCCTTAACTAGGTTTCATGCGATTCAGCGAAGTTAAAGGACAATTATCTTCGTCTATTTTCAGGGATGGGTCAAGTTGACATCCACGAAGTGGAAAAAGGAGTCAACGATCCTCAGAGAGCAGTATTCTATGCCGACCATCTTAAAGCTGTTGAAACGGCCATGAAGTGAGTTTTTACTATTCAATTCTTACTGTGCTTTTATTTATCCAGCAGTTTAATATTTGGTACTAATCCTGCTAGTCATGACAGGGTGGGCGCGAACGTAAAAGGTTACATTGCATGGTCATTTTCAGACAACTTCGAATGGTCTTCTGGCTATAATCCAAGATTCGGCATTGTTTATATTGATTACAAGAAAAATCTTACGAGACACCTCAAACGTTCGGCATATTGGTTCAAGAAATTTTTGCTTGCTTAAACAATAAGCAGAATGTTGTGAGTTGGGTTGTGGCTTTCGGCTTTCAGATTTCGGCTTTTGGCACCTGTATCTTTCAAATAAATTACTGTCTTCAGGACAGTAAATGGCCGTGCATCCCCTTGGCTGTCCGTCCTCATTCCATAGAAAATATTATATTGTAGGGCTGCTGTGCAAAAATTAAATATGAAGAGGGCGTAAAAACTAAATATTAGAACTCCCTCCTACCTACCCAACCACCTGTGTCATATGGTTTTTGAATTTAAAATCATAGTTGATTAGCAAGCAATGTGAAACAATTTCTTTCTTTTGTTGTCTTCAATAATCACCAACTCCAATTTCCCATCCAACTTAGCATTTCTTTTTTTGAAATCAGAGATTTGCAATATCAGTCAAAGTCTCGTAAAAGAGGTGCATTAGTGCCGTCCATGAGTGGAGAGAGCAAGAATACGTGGTCATGGGTTAAAACATCTTTTTGAAGGATATATTTTATGGAAAGTTTAAATAAATTTAGATTAAATGAATTGATAAGAGGTGAATTTGATCATTCCAACAACAAAAGGCTCAACCAATGATAGAGATAAAGCGTATACAATACTGGATTTAGACGAATGTATTCGATACTAAGTCCGAATATCGTAAATTAATCCCATTAAATACCTGACACTATTGCATATTTTCTAGGGAAATTACAACTTTACTCCCAGTTGCCAGACAAAAAGCAGGCTGCCTTCATTTATCTTCCTCTGGGGTGTTTCATTGTAGGGCCACTTTGATCCATGATGAATTGCTCAGCCTTGCGCGCCATGCTGGGTTCAAACAAAAAGAATTGCAGCTTTATTCCCACTTGCCTGTCAACTAGCAATTGGGTTTGATGGCGGGTGTTGCCTCAGTGAGGCAGCACCTTTAAATCATTGACATGTGGGGTAACTGCCTAGCAGATTTTTATTTTACTGTACATGTGTCAATGATCCAACAGTCACCCAACTAGTAGGCTGCTTTCATTTATTTCTCGCTCTAGGGTGAGTGTTAATACGTAGAGTTCAAATGAACTCAGAATAAACAAGTTGCTTTGAACCTTCGTCATGACATGGCCAACCTGCTTTGTGTATAATGTCTGTCGTTTCTCTTTTTTTATCTTGCCATCCCACTCTTGTACCCTTTAACCATCTGATCTTCAGCGTTTTAAAAGTTGAATAGGACTAACTAGTTCGGCCTGTTCAACTATAAATTTGTCTAAAAAATGGTTCAGACGATATTCTAAAATTAAAATATATTTAAACTAGTTAAATTCAATCAAAATTGATCAAATCGGCTAGTTTTAACAATTTTTAAAAACTAGTTCAAAGCAAAACCCCCCTAACCTAGGCCTCTCCCCTCTTTCCTCCTTGGAAATTGCCACTCATCAAAAGAGTTGGTTCAAATCTCAAAAACACTCCTTCCCTGCACCTACCTCTCTCTCTCTCTCTCTCTCTCTCTCTCTCCTGGAAATTGCCGCCATTAGATTGGTTCAAATTTGAAATCAAGGCATATTTGTAATTTTAAAAAATTTTAATTTTAATTTTATTTAATTATGTTAAAAAAATTATATACAAGTGTATAAAAAATTTTAGAAAAATATTTTTAATAATTTTTTTTCAATATGTTTCATTTAATTTAACTATTGAAACAAATAAAAAAATTACAAAGAATATATAAATAGTAAAAATTAGATTCTCAAAAAAAAATTATTTTCCAAAATTTTTAATTAGAAGAGTGTGTGTGTGTGTGTAATTTTAATTTTGAAATGAACGGATAATAATAAAAATATTACACATGTAGCTTTGAGCATTGCACAAAATTTAAACAAAAATATACTATTTGATTATACTTAATTTATTGAATTTTTAATTTAATTTTAATTTTTTTATTATCAATTAATTTGATTGACGATTAATCTCATTGAATTGTGACCTGATTAACTTAATGATTTGACCACCAGTCCAAACTTTAAAACATTTCTAATTTTACCACATAATTGTCCTTGGCGCCTACATCTGATTGATTGCCGATTGCATGAACAATAACAAAGATTCAAAGTATTCCACTTTATTCTTTTCCCTTTGTACCTCTCATCTAAGGATGCGTCCTTTCCCTTGTCTCATATTCTAACTTTGAGTCCACATTTTACTCCAATTAAACTTCCCTTGGTTTGTTATAAACTTTCAAAATGACAAATAAAGGTTTCACCAACCCTCGGATGAATCTGTTGACTTTTGCTTTTTCATCAGTTACCAACTACAATGTATATCAGGAAAGATAATTGAAGCAAGTATTGTAATCCGGATTTGTCATGTCAAATGTTTGCTGGAGACACTCAAACTTTACTGGCAGTTAATCTCTCTTATTTGCTAATAGAAATCTATTCATAAATGCACTAACAAATTCTTCTTAGGTCATCGGTGCCTCCTCTTTAGGTCTCTCAAATAATGTGGTATTATACCAAAACTGAGCCAAATCGTGCAATTTGCATGTAACTAATTCCATGTACCTAGGATTGGAATACTTTATCATCTCGAATATGATCTCCATCTAATCTATAAAGCATTGTAGATCTTTGGTAGTCCTTCATTCGTAGAAGGTAGGTGGTTTGAGCCTAAGAAAGTCTTGAACCTAATTCTTAAGGTTGGTCATGTCACATTCCAACCAAGTGGTCATGTATAACTTGCATCCCTGCATTGCATATTCATACATCACCTTATAACTTCATGTATATCATCTTTACATGCATTATATAAATACTAGCGATCTTAGAATTAAGTGAGGATTTATATAAAATTTTAATTATGAAAAAAAGAGAGAAAAGAATAATTAAGGGATTTTAGAAAGTTTATATAATATAATGGAAAAAAATGAAATATTTAAATAAATCATAATGAGATTCTTAAAGTAAAACTCTAAGAATTTGACACTTAAGAAACTAAGACAAATAGTTTTTAAACTAATTATGTAAATAGGTTGCTTAAATTACAGGATATGTATAAAGATATTAATGGCGAGAGGGGAATTTGAAATTTTAATAATTGAGGGCTTTCTTGTAATTTTCTTTAAAAAGGGGTGCTTCATATACGTAGAAGTAGCTTGCATATGTTCCAGACCTATCTGGACAGCCCATGTAAGAGAGAAAATAGAAGAGAAAAAGAAAGAAGAAAGAGAGAGAAGGAAGAAGAGGGGGAAGAAAGGTAAGAAAAACCTATATGCTTCTAGATTTTACTTGTATTTTGTGAGATTCTTATATATTTTGGATTTGCTTCTTTTTAATCTCATCTAAATAACTTGAAATCATGTAGAATTTGCTGCAACTCTGCTAAACCTTTGCTGGAAAAGCTGAAAGTTTGAAGAAGCAAAAATTTCATGGTTTTGTTACTCTTAAGGAGTTGTTGAAAACTTGTTTTGCTGTGAGAAATTTTTAAATTTCTATGGTTGGATTTGGAGTTCTATTACTGTATATGATGCTGGAAAAACAAGGGGAAACAAGGGAGGTGGTGTAAGAGAGGAGGAAAGAGGAGATGAAGCAAGAAAGATAAAGAAAACAAAGCTAGAAACTGGAATTGGAGAGGAGGTCGAGCAGAAAATTTTTCTGCAGGGAAGCTTGTTGGGCTGAATTTTCAGGGGGGGTTAGAGTGAGTTAAAAATTAAGTTTAAAGTGTAGTTTAGATGATGATCAACCTAACTTAAGAAATGAATTGGAAGAAGACACAAGTTAAGCTCAAATTATACAAAACTCAAGTGGTAAAGTCATGAAGTTGTGCAAAAAAAAACTGCAAACCAGAAAAAAATTTTGCAGTTAAAAATTCTGTAGGGTCTTATGGGTTGCACGAAATTTTTAGGAGATGGAGTGAGTCTAAAACCAGGTTTAATGGTTAGCTTAGATGGTGGTTAATCCAACTTGAAAAGGAAAATTTAGGAAATTAAGAATTTACCTCGAAATCATGCATAGTTCAATTAGTCAACAAGAGAGGATGTGCAGGAAAATTTTTGACAGAAAATTTCTGCAACTTATCTATGTTAGCTGAATCATTTTAGAGGGAAAATTCTATTCTAAACCAAGCTAGATAAGTGGTTTAAGAGATGGACAATCTAATTTAGTAAAAAAGCATTAAGAAAGACCCAAATTTGACATAATAACTAAATTCACCCAACTAAAAAAATCTTACTATAAGTGTAGAAAATTCTTCAAAAAAAAATTCTGATTTTGAAAGAGAACTTTGGGGGAGTGGCAAGCCTCATATGGGGCATGAGATAGAGAATATTAGATTTACCATATTGAGAGAGAATATTAGATTTACCATATTGAGATCCGTAGTCGGTCAAACACCATGGTTAGCATATTGCAAAATAAACCATTCAATACTCTGCCTACCAATCGTGCCCTGGTCTTGATAGGTTGGAACCAGTTGGAAAAAAAAAAAAAAAGAAAAAAGAATTGAAACTATCAAGAGCTTTCGTGATGCCCAAAAATTTCCACATTTTTCTCCATTTATATTGCAAATCTTCGTTGAAATTCGACGGCCACGGGTTAAGCCACATGGTTAACGTTGATGCATTTCTGACTTTTTAAAATTTTGGCGCAGATATTTTAATTTCTTTCACTTTACCGACAACCATACGAAGGTAAAGACAAAACGGATTTTGGATGCTTTCCTTTCATAATTGAAATAAATAGATTATTTATTAATTTTTGCACGATGTAGATATTTTTAAAAATAATTAAAATTATGAGATGAAAAATTTAAATACTTATTTCAAAATATTTAAAAAAATAAATAATAAATGAATATGAAATCGTGAATATTTATAATAGAAATATTATAATATTTCTTACTAAAACATTTCACATTCTTGTCAAATTATAATTTATATTTATTTTCAAATAGGATAGAAATCGAAACAGATCCTACAATTGTTATGTTTCGATTTTATTTATGACAATCTAAGAATTATTACACTAGACAATTGTTGAG